GGAGAGGGAAAAAGAAAAAGAAACATCAATGATGAGAGAGAATCATTGATCAGCTGCCTCCTGTCCTGGGGCCCCGCCCCTGGGGATCAAGCCCCCAACCTGGGCATGTGTCCTGACTGGGAATCGAACCGTGACCTCCTGGTTCATAGGTCGACGCTCAGCCACTGAGCCACGCCGGCCGGCCACGTGGCCACGTTTCTATCCTCCACCTTGCTCTGCTCCAGCCAGGCCTGCGCCTGTGCCCCACCGCCCTGCCCTGCGTTAGGCCCACTTTCTTGCCTCTCAGCCTCGGCTCGGGCCTCTCTTCCTCTTCTACATCCTCCTCAGCCCTTGGTGCCCAGCTAGAGGCTGGCTCCTCCCCAAAGCCCGCTCCGCAGCTTTATCCCCACTCATTCTTTCGTTCCTTCAGTGTGTGCACGGAGGGCCCTCTGTGCCGGGCAGTGAGCAAAAGAGACAACCCCTGTGCTCTTGGCACTTACACCCCCATGAGGCAACAGCCAATGACTAATCTCTGCCTGACAGGAGGGCGTGCTGGGCGGGAGTCAGCCAGGCAGGGCACCTTAGAGGGAGAGTGTGGGAAGGCCCGGGGGTGAGCTCTGGACAGTGGGCAGGGTGCCCGGGCAGAGCAGGCTGCTGGCACGAAGGTCGTGAATAGGAAGTGGCTGCTGTGGCTGGAAGAGGTGGAGGAGGCGTGAGCGGCGGGGCCTGGGGTCAGAGAGGTGGTAGGCTGTCGCCTGGCCGCCTGGGCACTGAGGCATGGCTTTTCCCCCGGGCGAGAGGGGCCGCTGCAGGGTTTTGAGCAGAGGAGGGAAGTGACCTAGATGTCCGGTGGACCCCTGGCTGCTGTGGGCACAGATGAAGGCCTAGGGCAGACGCAGACGGTGGTCAGGGGCCAGCGCAGCCTCCAGCATCAGTGACCGCAGTTACAGCCCCACCGGCGGGTGCAGGGCTGGCTCTGGCTCCCCAGCCTCAGTCTGGTTCGGGCGTGTCTGGGGGCCCATCTGTGCCCCATCCCTGTCCCTGCGGCACAGGACAGAGGACTCGGGGCCTCCCCAGGGCTGCTGAGAGCCGGGCCCAGTGGCTGAGGCTGCCCCCCCCGTCTAACCACCCACCCCCAGAAATCCTTCTACAACCTGATGACGAGCGACAAGAAGTCCGAGCGCTTCTTCAAGGTGCTGCACGACCGCATGAAGCGGGCGCAGCAGGAGACCAAGTCCACGGTGGCCGTCAACATGAGCGACCTGGGCAGCCAGCCCCGCGAGGACCGGGAGCCAGCAGACCCCACTGCCAAAGGTCAGGGTGGGGGCCAGGGTCACGGAGGGGTGCCAGCTGGTGGGGTCAGAGGGCTCAGGGGGAGGGAACACCCTATTTGTAGGTCCGAGAGGTTTGTGTGATGTGCTAAAGGTTGTTCAGACTGCAGCTATATTCATTCACATCGCCTTCATCATGTCTTAATTTAAGAAGTAAATGCTAGGTTTGTATTAACATTTATGTTACTTTGAAACAAAGGCTACACAAAAGTAATTTTAATAATTTAAATTCCTCTGGTTGCCTAAAAAGCTAATTTAAATTTGCCAACAATTTTTTAAATGAGTAATATTAACAATTTAAAATAAATATTAGAAAACTACAGCAACTTCTTTAGAGGGAGACCGGGGACCCTGCGGCAGGAGGAGCAGTCCCCTGGCCTCCCCCGCCCCCCAGCCATGCCACACCCCCTCACCTGTGCTCTGCGGCTGGTGGCCCTCAGCCCTGCAGCAGCAGGAGCAGTCCCCCTGCCCCCCTCTCACCTGCCCTCTAGCCATGCCACACCACACCCCCTCACCTGTGCTCTGCAGAACTTCCTGCGCTGTCAGAACAACAAGACCAACTACAACCTGGTGTGCGAGACGCTGCAGTTCCTGGACATCATGTGCGGCAGCACCACGGGCGGCCTGGGGCTGCTGGGGCTCTACATCAACGAGGACAACGTGGGG